AAACCACCTTTGGGCAGGGAACAAGGAATCTCAGAGTTTCGCTTAGATACGGTTATTTAAAACACAGTGAGATCCAGCTAAGAACTCCTCTCTGGTCTGACTGACTGCAAGTCCGTCTAAGTGCTCAGTAACTTCCCAGCTGGCTGTTAACAGCTTTGCAGACTGTTAGTGACATGAAGGCGCTTTAGAAATTATGAAGAAATGCAGCGTTTGCTCTCAGAAAGCTACAGATAGGATAATGCTGGACAGTGTTAAAGGTTGTGACCCCTTTATACGAACACTCCTTCATCCGTCCCACTCTGAGACGGGGAACGGTTCTTCTACTGTGTGAAGCATTCAAGGTGAGAAGAGTACAGGGGACAACCCAGCAGTGCATTATTAGCCACTGGTAGCCAGCTGTTGGCCCGTTAGACCCTCTGCTGCACAGGCCAGTACAGCTCCCTACGTATTGCACAGACCACCAGCAGCAGCCAGCGAAATACAGAGAAGACTTAAAGCAAACCCAAGTCTTCCGATACCGCTCCTAGCTCTCCTCCAGCCTTCTGCTGCTTCAAGGGAACACAAGTCACATCTCTGTCTTTGGTGACCTTCATTCGCATTAACCAGAGTGCGGTTATAGGAAGCAAAGGGAAGAAGACACGAAAAGGAGCATTCCTGGATGTGTGCAAGCACCACAGCGTGCTGGTCTGGAGGAGAGCAGCACCCACCATGTCGACTGTGATCTGAGCACTGAATTAAGGGCCCCTGCTGTGGGTTTTTCCCAGGAGCACACACAGGCTCCCAGGGTTAAGGCATTCACTCCCCAGCGCCAGAGCACTTAGTTCAGCATGGCAGTCACAGGACACTTGATTCTGCATGGCTCTCGCTCCTTTCCTGTAATGCCCACGGAAATGACAGAGGCTGCCATGAGGGAGGGGTCGGGGGCTTCAGCCTGCTCTCTTTGGCGTGAGGGCGTTGGGCTGCTTTCCCCCGTCGTTTGGTCCACAGTGAAGAGAACAGGTTCCTTCCCCAATGTCCCCACAGGAAAGCAGAAAGAGGCGTCTTGATTAAAATTGAACCCAGCCCGTGCTCTGCTGATTCTGGCTGGAAGCAGACCTGGGGAGGGGGGAACGACAGGAGGCTTTTAGGTGTCCGAGTGCGTGGCCTGAGGTTGGCTCTCGAAGAGCTGTGCCCTCAAGCCAAGACTGATTCACCCCCATGATCTCAATGCAGACAAGTTCTCCCACAATTAACGGGAAGGAATCGCAGCAGCCCAGCTTACTGCTGCTGGAAGAACGATGAGGTGCAGCCTCAGGAGCCCTGGGCACGCACGGGTGAGTAACAGCACCCATGAGGATGCAGTAACTTGCACGGCTGCTTACACCCAGGCTAGGCTAACCACGAGCCGGTCACCCCGGCACAGCTCGCTCTCGATTAAGATACCGCCAGAGCTGCAAACAGATCTCTACTAGTTCATCACCACAGCTCGGTTATGCTGCCACAGAGAGGTACGGGAATAACGCAAGGCTTGGCAGACTCGGTCCTCATGGATTCAGTGCTGTTTCTAACAGATACAGGCCTCCTCTTCCAACCCCCGCTGGCCAGCTGCTGGTTTAAACCTTTCCCCTCTCACTCAGAGCTCAGGGAGAGATGTGAGGTAGCGGTGTGAAGCACTACTGGCAGCACTGAACTGCCCGAGAGAGATGCCTTTGATTTCCAGGGCTGTCCATACAGCGCGAGATCCATCATCACCAGAACATGGCTATTCCCACCCAGGAAGCCAGCTGCGCTCAAACATGCTACAAACCAGGGAGGGCCTTACCCTGAAGCTTTGGCAAAATCTCCCCAGACATCGGTGGCGGCGGCGGCACTGGGCTGTGGCCAAGGCAAAGGGGTATCTACCAGAAACCAGGAAACAAAGAGGATTGGAAGAGAGACAGAGATCAGATTTCCGCACCAGAGCTTATTTCCCCATGCACACCTACTTCTAAGGGCCCAAGGGCAACCCCTTGGCTTTGCCAATACACATACTCTAGGCCAGTTCAGCTGTTCCCAGTTTAACTAAAGGGGCTTTTCAATCCATTAATTGTCAGAGTAACTTTGATGCAGGTGACTTTCATGGAACAGATCAAGGTATGCGCAGGCATTACTAAGAGACTGCAGGTCTGCAATGCAGAGGGGTGCAAGCCAGGAAAGGGCAACAGAAACCACATTCGGACATAACACAAGTTTTTCATAGGATGATTGCCCTGGCTGGCAGACCTACATGGCAGTTCCTACGCTCCTGATTTAGTCTCCTCTTTTTCACCTTGCTAAATAAAGGCTGCAATATCTGGAGGATGGAGAACTGGGTTTGATATAAAGTTGTATCATGAAGGAGACTGGCTCTGATAATACCTGGCTTGTGAGACATCGATTGGCAGTCAATGCTGGCCATGAGCCTTCCAGCAGCTGGACAGCATTTGATCTACCGCACCAAGCTGGCCAGATCAGCTGCTCTGAGGCAGCTTCTCTCAGGTCTGCTTGGATCTCCCTACACACAGACCACTAGCAGGCTATGCTTCCCTAGTGAAGCTGATCTCAACTGTCTGTCCATGAAACAGACTACGTTCTCCACTGAGCACGACACTCATTTGAGATACCAGGGCTGACAGAGACCAGGCCACACCTTGCGAGCCTGGAGAGAGATGTAGTTCCCAGCAGAGCCCTAGAGATCAGTCAGGGTCTGAATCTCACCAACTGCACAGCCCACAACACAAGGTGCTCGTCTAAAATAAGCACTACCCCATAAAACATGGGGCCACGGGCATCCAAAACAGATTGCTCAGGTTAAGGAACTGGCTTAAAAAGAATCAAAAGCTATACCTCTCCTGGGGGGTAATTCTCATTGACTCAAGTGCTACGTGGCTAAATGCCAGAGGGCACCTAGAGAGACCTGCTACCATAGCACTGGGCGGTACAGGGATCCAGACTGCTAGACAGATCCAAAGAGAAGCAAGTATTTCCACTGTAAACAGACCTGGGTTAGCAGGGCCTGGTAGCTGGGAGTGTGTGGGAAATGATGGAAGCTGCTCCCCTAAGGGAGGGATCACGGCTGGCCCCTTCCCTCCAGGGGGAGGTGGGAGTAGGCTCAGGCCCCCTGGCCCCGCCAGGCGCGATCTGCTGCTCACTGCAGTGCCTTCTTTCTTCTTTATATTCTGAAGGGAAATTTCAGCGTAAGGTGCAGCCTGCAACTCCACAGAGCAGGACATACTGCTCTGGCCCAGCTCCACTCCCCCCACCAGCCATTCAGCTGTTCACAAGCTGCTGCTGAGCACAGCAGAGAGCCAGTACCTTTTACACTCCACTGTGAACATGGCCATCTCAGCCAGCCCCAGGCACTGAACCCAGACCATCCAGAACAGAGCTGGCATCTGAAGCTGGGAGCTATATCAGACTCATTCCCCCTGTGATTTGATGCTGAGGGGATGCTTAAGACCCTCAAAGGTAGGGTATGCAAGTGACCTCCTGTGAGAGGGTTTTGGTACAAAACTTAATTCTTCCTGTCCAGTACAACCCAGGAGGTTTGAGAGGTACAAAGGAGGCAGGTGCTACAGCCTCTGGTGGCCTTGTAGCTAAAGCAGTTCATGTTTTTCTATCATGGGGAATGGAAATACCCGCCCCCCCCCGCGCGCACGCACACATTCTGGCTGGGAACAGGGATGGGGTTTTGGAAACATGATGACCACTCACCACTAGATCACCATTGAAATCACAGTCTAAGTGTGCAGCATTTCTGTGGGTTGGGCAGGGCGCACAGCCACACTTCATTCTGGTCAGCCAGCCCTATACACCCCCAAGGGCTCACCTACAGAAGGCCCTGGCTGTGAGGGGTCCCAGCACAACCCACTTACCTGCATCTGTGAACATACTGCAGGCCTGGAAATTCATCAGCAAGGCACCGCCCAGCTGGTCCCTTTGCATCTGCTCTGGAGCCCTCAGTCTCCAGCATCAAGTCAGAGGGGACCAGCAGGCACTGGGGAAGTCCCTGTTCCCCCAAGCACTACCAGGAGTGACCAGGAATAACGGTCACAAGCTGGCAGAGGGCAGATTCAGACTAGATATCAGGAGGCACTACTTCACTGTCAGGGTGGCTAGGATCTGGAACTAACTTCCAAGAGAAGTGGTGCTGGCTCCTACCCTGGGGGTCTTTAAGAGAAGGCTGGATGAACACCTTGCCAGGGTCGTTTGACCCCAGTCCTCTTTCCTGCCATGGCAGGGGGTCGGACTCTATGATCTGCTCAGGTCCCTTCCAACCCTAGACACTATGAAACTATGAAGAAAGCGGCCAGTGGGGACAAACCCAGGGTCGCCCCATTTTTGAACCCCCCGGTCTGGGGCATGTGTATGGGTGTACAGTGGTGGCTGCGCTCAGGCTTGCCGGTGTCAGCACTCACATGGACAAGCCCCAAGGGGCCAAAGCCACACATCAAAAAAAAGGATCTATCTGACTAGTCACGCTACCCGGGCTTAGCCGGGGGAGGCAGCAGACTAGGTAAGAGAAGTACCTCACCGCAATGTTGAGTTTGATGGTCTGTCCCTCCTTGAAGCTCAGGTCCAGTTTAGGCCCCTGCTCTGGGTTCTGGGCCTGTTTTGCGAATTCGCTTTGCTGCCTAACCCACCTGCGAGGGGCAAATAAAAGTCATTAAATGAGGAGGGCAACAGCAGGAAGAGCCAACATCCAACTAAAGTCCTAGTCGAAACAATGGCTTCCCTTATGGTAGCGGCACAATGAATCTTTAGACTCTTGTTTGTGTGGGTCATTTATACCGTTTGCTCTGGGCATTCTTCTGGCCCTGGCCAACTAACAGCATCAACAAATAGAAATTAAATAATAAAAATAAAATAATTAAAAATATAATGAAAATAATAATCAATAGTAATAAAAGGGATGATATAAGACTAAATTATAAAATAAATAACAGTAACAATAAATAAGCACATTAAGTAAAAGTAGCAAGAAATAGTAAAGAAATAGCAAGCGATAATGAATAATAAGAAACGATGAATAAATATTGAGTAATAATGAAAAACGATAAATTATAAATAATCATCATCATCATTATAAGCAGCATTTCATCTGTTTACCGCCCGCTGGCTTTCAGGCTGCCAGTGCTCAACTGACTGAACTGCACATGCTGGCCCAAGAAACTACTGAGAAAGCCAGTGCAAGACAACAGAGGAAACCACTAGCAAGTTCAGGCTTCAGACTTTTTTTCCCCAGGTTCTCAACTAGGTCACTTTTGAGTTGTCTCTTGCTCAAACCAGAGTTGCTTGGATTCTAGAAACAATCTATGGATAACACCAAAGTGATGGGAAGGGAAGGCAAGATAAGGAAGGAAGCAGTGATTTTTTAAAAAATATTTTGCCAAAAAAGGCTTCAAGCATGCGCCACTGTGGTCATGACTCCTAAACTACGCTCAAGGGTCCTGAGGACTAACCACCTGCTGTAATGTTCAGAGCAGCTTCTCTTAACAGCACCCATGATGGCAGCCCCCCTGGATCAGCAGGCCTGTCCAAGCTGCAAGAGACAGCACAGTCCCTTCCATGCTGTTCTGATCCAATATGCTCCAGCACTCACCATAGGGGCGGGAGAAGGAACTACAGGTTGGGGCACAGCTCCATCTTCTGCTACCAGCTGGAGTTACAATGAAGTCATTTCTGAGTGGCTGCATCCCCACTTCTCTAACCACAAAAGGGTTAGGAAGCCAGCAGCATGAGGGAAGGAGGCTTAGGCAATATTAACTGGGAAGGGGTGCTCATGGGCTTTTACTTGTGCGTACATGTCATCAAACAATGCTTCCTTTTCCAAGGGCTGGGGAAATCTTCGAGAGGACAAGCACTGCTACTAATGACTTCATCTGTATGGAGACAGGAACCGAGCTGGTTCAGAGGAATCTGCAGGCTTCCTGTCCAGCCCACCGCCCTGTTGACTGGGTTTCCCTGCTTGAGCATGTTGCAAGCCAACAGCTTCCTCCTCTGGCAGTTTCAGCATGTAACTGCCACCATGCAGATGCCGCAAAGTCACCAAGATGAGGCAGAGACAACTCACTTGAAATGGTCTTGCAGGGTGACGTTGAAGTCGAAGGCATCACCTCGGTCCACAAACCCCACGCCGATGAACGCGCGGCGCCCTGCAAAATGAAGGAGAGCAAGCACTGGGACCAGCAGCAAAGTGGTGAGCCTCCAGCTCAGCCAGCATGGACTCTTGCTCCCCCTGCATTGTGGGGTCACATGTCCCACAGCTTCCAGAGAACATGCTTAGCAACAGAATCTTATTTCCCTTCCCAGATGCTGCCAACAGGCTTGGCAGAGGAAAAGAAAGCACCCTCCTCCCTTACACAGTACCCTGAACAAGTGGCCTGTCTATCCTGCTACACAGACCCTAGTGTTTTCAACTGTTCCCCCAAAAAAGGCAGCACTTGCAACTTCAGAACAGACCCTTTCAGTGTCAGGAGTGCATCAAGAGGGGTAAGGAGGTGAGAGCAGGAAAGGGGAGGCAGCACTAGGTATCCAGCGTGAACTCTCTTCTCCATTAGGAGACAGCTACAGCGAGTCAGGGCAAAATCTCAGCACCTTTACTGGTCCTTGTCACGGAGTACACAGCTGTCTCACAGTTTGCAATCCCCTCTATGTTTTATCCTAGGCCAGGTTTTACCCCTCCTTTGATCATTCCCTGCAAAACTCAATCAGCATTTCACTGCTCTATCCCTCAACCTGAACGTTATTCCTCACTTCTAAGTTTTAAGCTTTCAGGACCTTCTCCTTATGCCGCTGGTGACAAGTAAATGAGCACAAGCTGCTGTGGAAATGCAGGATATATCCTCAATACCAAGTCACTGCCAGGGTCTTGGAAATTCACAGTCCTCTTCTACGACCTTGCATCTCGCCCACTTCAGCACATCTAAGTAACCAGCTATCACTAAGCTCCTTTACAAATCAGAAAGCTGCTAATCAAAGTAGCTAAGTAACAGTGCAATTAAGATAAGGAAAACAGCAACCACCATTTTTTTTTTTTCACTCAATTCATGCGTCTCAACTGCAACCAAGTAAGGTGTCAGGGAATTATACTTTGACACTTAATGCTATACTGGTGCTGAAGTTGTGCGATTTATGCACACGACTAATCCAGCATCATCAGTTTCCTTGTGCTGCCCCTTGATATCTCCACCCCTACCTGCTGCAGCCCTCCCTTCCTCTCTGCTGAGCCTGTCACTTTACAGTGCTCTCTGTAACATGGTTTCATTTCCCACTAGGAGTTGCATTCAGGCCTGGCCTGGGCACCAAGTTACACCAGTTCATATAAAACTGACTGAGTTACCCTGGGGCAACCCTGTGTGCAGACGCTCTCAGGCTGCATTCAACACTGCTTATCAGTTCAGCTTGGGTCAGCAAATACACTGGCACAGAAACATGTTAGATCAGTCGAGCTCAACTTAAAAATCGGTTAAATAAGCCCACGTGCCAACTTGTTGGCTTTCAAACTGGTTTCAGTTGAAGCAGTGAAAATCCTGTAATTTTTTATCTTTGGTTTCCGTTCAATCCACACAGGTTGCTGAAATACAGGCGCCGAGTGCTGACTTTGGATGGATCTGGTCTAGTATCCCAAGGAATGAAAGGCACCTCATTCCACTCCCCTAGGTTTTTACTCCGCCTCCAAGATGCAATGTTTATTTAGTCCTTTGAAATGAGGAATCCTTCATAGCTGGAAGACTAATCCAGACCAGGCCAGTGGAAACCTCCAAGATAAACTTAAAAACGTATTCATCAAGAAACATGCTTGCCTTAGTATGGTGCTAGGAAAGAAGAGAGCTTAAAACCTCCCCTACCATTTCCATCTTCAATCCGAATGACAAAATATCGGCTGGAATCCGTCACACTCTCCACAGCGATGCCAGGAAACTGGTCCACGGGGGCCTGGGCAAAGAGCTCCCCTACAAGCAGAATTGTGTGTGAAGGGCAAGGAATCTTAATGCCAAAGAAAAGGAGCCAACACAACAGTGCCATGTCCCAGAGCACAGCACGCACAGGGACGGCGGCTTACCCATGCTAGGGAATTAAACACAGCGATACACCCACAAGGTATTAGGTATTTACAAGCTGCACATATCAACAGAGAAGTTAACCTACTTACCCAGTGTCTTCCAGGAAGCCTACAGCAGAGGATAAAATCCAGACAGAAACCCAGACTGAGAAACCAGTCCAACCACTACACTACATGTCCTTTGGGGGCTGAAATCCATTAACCCAATTCTCAGTTCTCAACATAAGGCTCTTTACACAGCTGTGATTGAGAGCAAGCTCACTTACATGACTTGGGACCAGTCCAGCCCCAGAACTATGGTCAGGAAGTCCTGGCAGCAGTGGGATAAATCACAGAGGTAGGAAAGCCCAGGCAATCACTACAGGCAGCGTACGCTCTGCGCATCTTTTCAAGGACTGATCCCCTTCTGAGCAGGGCCCAGGGCAGGGAAAACGAATGACAGGGGCCACAGCTGCCTGCAGCTCTCTCCACCCAGACCAAGAGCAGCAGCAGCACAGGGAGAACAGAAGCGTTCTAACAAACGCTGCCCATCTCTTTAGAAAAATGTTCCATCTTTGAACCAACCTGGTTGCATCGAGAAAGTGAAACACACAGGAAGCGTTTCCAACAGAAACTATTGGGATAGGGCAGGAGATACTAGCTGTAGGGGCTAACCAGATTTTTTCCCCCCCGATTTCATTAAGGACAGACTCCCTAGCACAGACTATAGTTTTGCAGTTTGCAAGGCTTCTTCCTGCTCAGCCTCTTAAATGCCTTGAAGAGCTAACAAATCAGCATCTAGTTGAGGTTATTCTGCCACAGAAGGGGGAAAGGGGGCTTTAAACCCGCTGCTCAAGTTGAATTCCCTTCCACTACTCTTAACTATTGTGCATCACTGGGGCACCCAGGTACCACAAAGAACTGAGGAGCTGATCAATCCAGAACCAAATACAGTTGCAAGTCATGTGGGAATCCTCAGCAAACCTCCCTGAAGAGGAAGAAGCTGCCTTAAGGCATTTTAACATCAACATACAAGACACCCATGGCCTTTCCACGTATTTATTTCAAAGTGAACCAAATTCATTCTCTCAGCTGCAGCGTAGTTCTGGGAAGTGTCCCTGACCCCAGCCTCCAGTGCACACAGCCAAGTGCGTGGATCGTTCCTCGCCACGGTTGCTCTAACAAGGATCCATGAGCCTGCTGTGTATGGCAGCCCCTTTCAAGTTGGGGGTGAACGGAGGAAGCCCCAGGTCTCTCACACACAAATGCCGCACTCTTTGCCCTTTACCTGTAGTCTTATCCTCAAGTTTGATGAATGCCATCTTCCCCTTCGACGTGATCCGCAGCCTGCCGCTCCACGCTGGCTGGTCCAGCTGCCATTCTGCAGCCCTGCGGGTAAAAACTGTCATTAGCGTCTGAAAAACCTCCCGAGTCCCAGGCTACATGGCTAAGCTCCTCCGCGATTACTCTGTGTCTCACAGTAGTGCTCAGAGATACTTACACCTGGGACCGACGATGTTCTTATCAACTAGACTACAGTAGCGCTCAAAGGCGTAAAGCAGAGACCGGGGCTCCATTGCACCGGGCGCATACAGAGAAAGTTCCTCCTCTGGAGACAGAGGCATTGTACAGACATGACGAGAGAGGTGCTTGCAGAACCAGCACCTTAGTTATTTTCTATCCACGTGGCACGCCTGGACAAACACCCAGGAGTAGAGTTGGGGAAGGAGGGCAAAGTCACCATGAAGCAAGCAAACTGCACACAAGAATCCAGCCCAGTGCAAGAGGCGTTTCCTCGCTCGATTGGTCCTTTCCCAACTCACTCGCTCTCGTAACCGAAATCCCTACACGCACCGATTTCTGTTTTGGAAGACAGAGGTGGTATTCATCCTCACCGCGCGCTTCTGCTCAGAGAGCCGGCCGCAAAGACATACAGCCCTTTGCCCCAGAGCGATTAAACAATTAGCACAGCACTTCGACGGGGAGCCGTGCACAAGGAGTCTGCTTGGGGAAGTTGTCTGGCTGGCTGAGCAGGGACCACCCGGCCGTCAGCTGCCTCCTGTCACCGCCAAGTTTCGCTCCATGACCACAGTTCAGCTTCCCCTCCTGCGAGCGTGAATCAGGCAGGAAAGCCCCGCACTTTAACGGAGACGTGCAACTACTTCCCGACTTTCTCCCTATTCGGGTACGGGCGCAGCGCTGTGAACCCCCCGGACGCTGGATCCAACGAACCGGGAACCTCGTGTTTCTGGATCCGTCGCTAAGCGCACGAAGAGACCTCTCCTCGCACCAAGGCAGGAGGTCGCCCCGCCCCCGCCCCCACTTGGACACCACGCCACTGCCCCCCCCATTGCCTGGACCCCCAAAATGCCCCCCCTCGGGGCGCACCGGTGTCCGCGGTTGGAGGCGCGCGGCGGCACGCGATACACGTGCACCTCGGGCTTCACGCACAGCACC